CCAATACAAGGAACCAGATCAATTTTGGGTGACCCTGCTCCCTTGGCTCTGTTATTTCATGAGAATCGGGACTTTCAGACAATTCTAACACCCTCCTGCCAGAAGATTTAGATCAAGACATAGAGAAGAGAGAGAGAGGACCTTGGCAATTGCCTTTCTCCCAGGGAACCAGACCAGGTGCCTCAGGGTGAATAACTAAGGCAAGACCCTCTCTCATCTTTGGTTCCTGGTGGCCCCAGAACTATGGCGTCCGTGGTGGATCCCGTTCAGTGAAAGATTCTAACCTCACCTCTGTCTCCTTTTCACAGTTCTCACACACAGTGTCCAGACTCAAGGATAGCACCAAGCACTGTAAAATCCTTTTTACCAAGTAGCCTTGAAGTACTTGAGGTCAGCAGGGTTTCCTGAACAGTCAGGGCTGGTTGTGAGACAAAATGAAAGTATTTGCCGGTGGAGAAATTTCCACATGTGAACCATAAACTCCCATATCCTGCTTTTGGCCAGACTTGGACTTCCCCGGAGTTGGTCAGACATTCCCCTGGTGGCCTCAGCAGCAAACCAAATATTCTGTCTCCCGTCTTCCCCCATCTTCCCTTCCCTCCCTTCACTTTCTCAGTCAGTTGTCTTGAATAAGTTGTAACAAATAATGTTGCCACTTACTTTTTCTCCTTCAGTTTTCTACCCCTGGTGAGCCAGCTTCTCTCTCTGCCTCTGGCTTGTAACTGCCCTGGCTGGATCAGTAATGACCCCTCTGTCGCTAAAACCAGGGACACTTTTTCTTTTCTTACCTGACCTCTAGGCAGTAATTGGCATTGTCCACCACACCCTTAATTTTGAAACATGCTTCCCCCAAACTCTTCCATTTTCCTTCCACCTTTGCAGACTCTTATGCCTGTGGCCATTCCTTAAATGGTGGTCACCCTCGGGGTCCTAGACAAGACTGTCTCCTCTTTTCACTCTCCATTCCCTCCAGGGATGAACCAAACACACCTGTGGCATCCACCCATCGCCGCTTTAGGTGTCGACTCCTAACTCACTATGTGCAGCTCAGTCGTCGCTCCTGACCTTTAGTCCATATTCCCAAGCACTTGTGGACATCTCTATTTTGCTGGCTCCCAAATCTCAGACCCAGTATGTTCAAGCTGACACGAGAACCTTTCTCATTCCGACCTGTCGTATCCCATACGTAGGGTGGCACTGTCCACTGATTGCCCAAAACCAGAAGCCTGAGAGGAACCCTTGCCTCTTTCTCATTTATTCTCTATAACCCATCAGTGCTCAAATCCTGTAATTCTGTCTCGTAACCTTCCACCACATCTCCACTAAGTGGATTTTGCTCTTTCAGCCTTATCCTTCTTCAGACCATCCTTCATACCGGAACAAGCATGGTCTTGCTCTTCAGTGGCTCCTCATCACCCTTGGGATAATGCTCTGACTTCCGAACTGGGCTGATAAAGCCATACGTGATTTGGTCGGTTCTTACCTTCTGCCTCTCATTACACTCATTTGCCTCCTGAATGCTCTTAGGTGCTTTTACCCCCTCAATTTCACATGATTTATTTCTTCTCTGTAGCTCATCATCTCAGACTTATCTTTGGGACCTAACTTGAGACACTTCTACTCAAGTCTTTCCTGGGGCCCAAGTGTAGACAAAATGTCCTACCTTCAAAATCCCATAACACCAAGCACTTATTCCTATTAGAACATTGGTCTCACTCTATGGGGGACACAGACAAGTAAAGAGAGTGTGGGTTCTAGGGGGAAGAGGGAGCATAGGAAGGGCCTTTTCTTGTTCTTTGTTCACAGGGCACTGGACATACTGCCCTGCACACACTAAGATGCTCATTGTATGAATGAATGAACTAACAAAGAACTCAGCAAGTATTGGAGTCTGTGTTCTCTTCTTATTTCCGCATAGCCATTTGGATGCTCATGAGCTCCTGCAATCTTTAATGAGTACTTAAGGCGTGACGAATATCTCTCTCATTTTATTTAACCCTCACAATATCCTGTGAGGTCAGGATTAGCCCCATTCCATATTTCATGCTCAGGTGAGAGATGATTTGCTCTAGGTAAGAGAGTCAGAAGATCTGGGTTAGGATTCTAGTCCTAAGTCCAGGGCCCTTCCCATCTTGATTTTGGTGTCAAACGTCAGTATGCTTTGATTCTGCCCATTTCCGTCTTCCATTCATTTCTGGCCTGATATCTATTTCCTCTGGTCAGAGTTCATTTTCTAATTCAAGGAAGTCTGAGGGTATGAAAGAGATATTCTATTCCAAAAACTTGGTTCACTGGCTGCTCTGGAGAGTTGGGATTTGATGTCAGAAGACGTCAAGGGTGGAGGAAACAAGAGTTTGTAAACTTATATCACCCATTCGGGTGGCAATGGATTTATTACACTGAAAACGTCATTAACCCTTGAGCATAGTATCTTGTGCTTTCACCCACATGATGGGGGTATGAGTGATAGCTATTCCCAAAAGGGAAGGAGCCAGCATATAATGAATATTCACTATGGGTCAGGAACTGGTTTTATCTTCTTGAAATCCTATAAAATAGGTATTTTGCCTGCATGAGAAAAATTCTGGTAGAGGAAGTGACCGAGGTTATACAGTTAGTAAGTGGCTGAGCTAGTTTCAGAATCAGAGCTGCCTGGCTCCCAGGCACTTTGCATCATGTGGCAGAGAGTGGGTTCTGGAGGCACGCTGCCTCTGCTCAGATTTGGTTCTATGACTTTATTAGGATGTGTAACTTTGCGAAGCCACTTAATCTCTCCAGACTTCAGAGTTTTCATTTCTTAAGTGTGGGATCATAATACTTCTTATAGGTTGTGGAGAGGATTAAACAAGGTAATATCTGTAAAGCATATTCCTATACATATTAAATGTGATATATCAGCTCCCATCATCATCATCGTCATCTCCATCATCATCATCCTCTCCACCACCCCTGCCTTCAGTCCATCTACCTGCCAAGAAGGTAGATCCTTCTGGGCCATGATATAAATGGGTACTCAGAATTCCTCTTGAAGACTTGGGCGCTCTTTGGAATTTAACAGTTGGTCAAGGATGTTAGGTGCATGGCTCAGGACACATGGCAGGAGGGATTGAAAGTATAGTTGAAACACAACAAAGGAGACCACAGCTATGTGATGGACAAATAAATCAGCTGGTTAGCTGGGAGTGCTACCCTAGGAATTGTCCTGCAAATAGGGTTAATGTTTTCGGGGCAGATGGTAGCTTAACTTGGCATGTTTGGGCATTCTAGCTAGTTGCTGCCAAAAACATATTTAAATTGACTTGATAAGATTTATAGTAATAAAGTACACTTCATGTAATGACTAATGTTTTGGGAGCTCTTGCTAAATGTCTCAGAGAATTCTGTGCTAAGCACTTTGCTATCTTATTTAATCTTTGCAATAACCCAGTGTCGTGGACATTTTTATTATTTTGATCTTACAGATGAGGCCACTAAGGTTCACAATTAAATGTTAAGTATGATCAGCGTTGTCCAACAAGTAGAAGAAAAAGCTAGCATTTGAATCCAAGTCACGCTGTCTCCAGAGTCCATATTTTTTCTTAACCATCATCATCCCCTCCCACTGGGGCTTCTTACCAATCTCGGCTTCAGGTGCCTAATTGTGTGAAGGACCTCAAGAGCCAGTCTTCATTCATGTACAGACTCTATCACCCTGAGGCAGATTCGCCAAAGCAGAAGGGAGGAGAGGAGCATTCTTAGATGGAGATATGCCCCTGAGAGTTGAAGGGTTCTGATCTTTATTTTTGCATGGGGAACATCTTCACACTTGAAACCAGAGGCTAGCTGGCTCACAAGCTCACAGGCCAGACTCCTCCTGGTGCAGCTTCATTTCTCTAATGAGAAATAGATTTAATAGTAGCAGCTAGAATTTATTTTAGGCCTTTGTTCTAAGAACCAATTAAGACTTCCACTTTGCCTTGAACTAATTCTAATATCCTTATATATATTTTTTGAATTAAGGGCTAGAGTGTCCTGGACTAAGATGTCTTAGCAATATTTTTGCCTAAATTCTTCCTTTTTTAGAAAAAAGATTTTGATTTTCCAGCATCCTTCTCTGTCAGACTTCGAGTATCCCATACACATGGTTAAAAGGACTCTTCACACCGATTTGTACTAATGGACAAGAGAACACAACTTACTCCTAACAACTTAGTTTTCCCAGTGCTGACTTTCTAAGGAGAGTTCTGGACCATCCGGTTTTTTCAAATCAGAACTTGGGAAACAAGATTTGAGGAAGGGTTTTTCCTGACACTTCCTGATTCAAGAGGGACTTTGGAAGATTTAATTTTTTTAGGTTACCGGAGAGAGCCTGACAGAGTGTTCTGGTTTTTCCAGGACACACAGTCACTGCACATATTGGTCAGGGAAGAAAATTGTGGCTGTGTGTCTCATCCCTCAGCCGTGTCCATGTATAGGTAGGTGTCGGGGGAGGAGTGAGGTGCAGAGGGAAATGCAGTGTCAGTGTCAATCCTTACGAAGAGATGAATTCTCTATTACAGGAGAATTCACAGGTAGAATTAATAAGGAACGTGAGTGGAGGTAATCGGGAGTCTTTGAAGAATGGTTTAAATCAAGAGGAATTGCTGGACACAGCTGCCAGTGTCTGGAGCCTGGGTGCTAATTCTGAGAGCTGAGAACGATTTCCCTCCAATTCTTCCTTCTCTCCTTTTTCTTTGTTGTTTTTTTATTGGGCTTTTATCATCTGTCAGACATTCTGCTAAGCCTTTATGTACATGATCTCATTTAATTTTCACACAAGCTGATGAGAGAAGTATGATTGTTATCTCCAACTGACCAACAAGGAAATCAAGGCTCGTAAAGATTAAGTAACTTGCCCCAGATCAGGGAGAGGGAAAAGTAGAGCCAGAACTCAATCCCAGGTTTCTCTGGCTCTAGACCTTGACCTCTCGACCACCATGTCACTGCTTCTTCACTAAACGTTTTCTGTTCTTTGTTCCCAGGGACAGGATGAGAACTTCAGTCAATGTTGTGGGGGACTCTTTTGGGGCTGGGATTGTCTATCACCTCTCCAAGTCTGAGCTGGATACCATTGACTCCCAGCATCGAGTGCATGAAGATATTGAAATGACCAAGACTCAGTCCGTTTATGATGATGTGAAGAACCATAGGGAAAGCAACTCTAATCAATGTGTCTATGCCGCACACAACTCTGTCATAGTAGATGAGTGCAAGGTACCTTTCCCATTCATGGATATTGAGACCTGCATATAATAGTGCATGCTCCATTTCCTAAGACAAGCACAAAAACCCCTGCATGTATTATTGTCACATTTATTTCTCTGAAAGATCGTGTAACCCAAGCTTCTGTGAGTCCCAGATCATCTAACTCTGTGTCTAACATGGCAGGAAATCATCAGGTCTAACAGTGAGAGAGCCAATCAGTTGCTTGGTTCGTCCATGTGATGTAAAACAGTCATTCTGATCCCCCCATCCAACCACTCCACAAATTTGATTGGTTTTCTTGAACATTTTTCCGAAGAATTTGGTTTCTAAGGCTTTGCTGGATTTCAAATATTCTATTCCTTGAATGAAACACCAAGAGAAATACCCAGAATCACTTCATTTACATAGCATAACTATTCCTTCTTGCTGTGTATTACATATTGGTCAAAAATATGCCCACCCAACTTTGCGCAACTATCTTTCTCTTCATTATTTTTGTGAGGAGGTGAGTTTTGAATTGGCAGTCACTTTGCTCCAAGAATGGGGAAGCTATTTCAAGTAAAGGATAACTATCCTTCAGGACAATTATCCATAGACACTACATTTCCCACAGTGGCAGCACCATCGTTCCTGAAGCATGGGTGTTCTGGACTCTTTAACAGGCTGCTGGGTGCTAAGTCGTCAAGCTTGATGGGCTCTGTCTAGCCTTCATTGTAACTAACTTGACATTGTCAAAGACAGAGTTCATGACCAGAGTGAAGCAAACTTGGAGAAACCCTGGCAGGTGAGCAGAGTCAACTCCGGGGGTTGGGTTACTAATATGGTTCCAGGCAGCAGCTGAGGGCAAGCTGTACCCGATACAGATTTCTGATACCTTTTTGACTCCTGTTGACAAGATCTCATTTAATAGTTAATTTCTTCCTGGGTTACTTCTGGGTCATTCCAAATATACACCATGGCTTCTGCCAGACAATTGAGGGTAACGTAGAAGCGATTTTCTTTACTGGACTGTAACATAGATCCAGAAGTCTAATGGACCAGCAAGTCTTCTGCTCATCCCCTCTCTATCAGGTACATGTGTGGATGAGCCAAGGCTCTGGTACAAATTAAGGAAGGACTCACCCATCAAGAGACAACTGCAAAAATTAATTGACTCAGTGAAAATGTTTCGAATTATTAGAAATTCAGATGTACCTAAAGCCCATATTCCACTCTCCTGGAAAGTCAGTGTTTCCCACATCTAAACGAATGTGCTGGATTATTCCCCGTCAAAATGTTAGTTTGGGTCAACAAGGGTCCACATTCCCGTGGAATGGCTTTATGCCCTATTTAACAAGTATTTATTGTGTGCCTTGTGGGGTTTAGTTGAGCACGGCCATCTCATTCCTTTGACCTCCTATATTTTGATCATTCATCAAATGTTTATTGAGTGCTCATGATCTGCAAAGCCCTGAAATGGGCATGGGAGGACAGCAAAGCGAATGTCTAATTTTGTAGTAAAGATAAGGCTTAAACCTCCGTCTGGTCCATTCGCTGTCTCACTGTTTTTAAACACCAAGATGGGAGACATCAGTGCTTCCTCCTAGGCCCCCTCTCCTTCTTGCTTTTCTAGGTGTTTGGAGGAGAGAGAGATGGGATGGACTGGGGAGTGGAGCCCCAGCTTCCCTGAACCCAGCCAGAAAAAAGAAAGAAATGCTAAAAAAAAAAAAAAAAAAAAAGCAAGCAAGCAAGCAAGCAAGCTGCTGTCCTGGCCACTTTGGAAACACAGACCCCAGTATTCAACCATGATGACAACACAGGGCACCACCCCCAAGTGCTGTCTGGTGTTCCAGAGGCACTTCAACGTGATTTATAATTTTGCACAGCTATTGATCTGGTTCATCACTCAAAGCCAAACAGGCACATTCAGGGTTGGAGTGAACAGGCAGCTTTCTCCGGGCAGACAGTTTGTTCCTGGCGGTCTTTCCTGACAGTTCACCGAAGGGGAAACCAATTTGCTGCAGCTCTGGTCAAAATGTTAACCACTTCAAGCATCGTGGCACCGCGTTGGCCTCTTCCGTTTGCAAACTCTTTCCTTTGTCATTGTAGTTTGACGTTATGCTTGAACTTTTTAATTTTAATCAGAGTAACTGCACGTGGGGTGGTCATGGCTTGTCGCATGGTCTTTCTAGAAAAATATGGGGGCTGCCGGCAATTGGGGGAGGAATGAGTAGCTTTTATTTACACGCGCCTGGTTCAGTTGTCTGTCCCTAGCATGTTGTATGTGTTCCTAATGCATGCGTTTCACTTCCACTCGGGTAAGAAGAAGGTCAGATTTCTTTCAAACGTTGCTGCATTTGTCATGTCTCCATATCCTAATGCTTCCATAAATCCAGTCTCTCCATTATGTGGAATATCAGTCGTGGGTTTAAGTTTGCACATGACGTTGAGGACAGACAGATGGAAGGTAAGCTAGGAAACAATTTTAGAAGTGGAGGGGTACACCTCCCGTTCGGTGTAAGGGTTCAGTTCGCTTAGAGCCAGGGAAGCCCTAATATAGACAGGCTGGTGGTGATACCTGATTAGGAAATGTCTGCACTGAAATCATTTAGGTGTGCTTGTCACTGACCACTGGCTTTTAATCCTTTCTTTTCTTTTTCATGTTTAAAGCCTGGATAGCTTATTTGGTATCCAGACCCTCACGTTTTCTGATTTTGCAACTGGGCATGTATAAAGCCAACCTGGCCTCCTTGGAACTGAACCTTCCACACGCATGTGTAGAACTAGCTGTCGAGTTCTGGGGGAGTTTTCTCTGGTTGTATGGAGTAGCACAAGGACACTGTTTTGTTAAGGACTGCATTCTTACATGATGGGTCTGTGTGTAGTTTGACACGCCCACAACCCTAAAAGCATAGTAGACATTATCCCCCAAACAGCAAACTGTCTCTAGCTCCTCCATACTCCCCCAGGCAAATGTGGACTTTTCAGTATTTACAAATCCGTGTTGAAAAGCAAGATGGGCTCCAAATCCGTTGGGAAAGAATGACATTTAAAACTAATATGGAAGTCATGTAGCGTAACTTGGATCTGGTGCTCCTCCGCACAACCCGTGGGGTGGTTTTCTGGTTAGTGGCCTATTATTAGCTGGATGCTGATGATAATTATTTTCAGGTGACTCTGGCAGCCAACGGAAAGTCTGCCGACTGCGGAGTCGAGGAAGAACCGTGGAAACGTGAAAAATAAGGATGTGACTCTCAGCAAATTTTTGAACAAACTCCCCAGCGTATCTTATGGTAAAAAGAGAATATAAACAAGCTGTCTTTAAAAAGGAAAAAAAAATGCACCTATTTCTGTGTTTACTTAATCTGCTAGCCAAGGCTTCGAGGATCTGTTGTGAGTCAGTGATAGGCGCGGTGCTGTGTCTGCCAAGTGATGCTTTGTAACTGCCTCATTTTCTCACTTGTATTATTGTCTGAACGGAGAGTGCTGGAGGAATCAGTTTGAATTGAAGACACATTCTTGCCAGCTTCCCTTTGCTCTCTAAATGCAGAGTCTCGGAAGCTCTTTTCCCAGGGGACATGACTAAAGTGATGTGGTACAGTCCGGGGACTTGGGATAAAGAGCAGACACCCAGAGTGTGATTCCTTCAAGTGTTCTCCGTGCTTCTGCTTTGTTATGCACAAGAGATTCTGTTAGAAGCCTCTAGACATAATTCTCTTGAAATGTCTTGTAGAGTTTGCCCATGTGTTGATTAAAAGCAAATCCCTGTCTTCAGGAACTCTCAGAATCTATCTTCTGTGTACTCTTTCAACTAAATATTTCAAAGAGAATGGTAGTGGGAACCGTGTTCTTCAAGGCAGCTGATTACGGAACCCACTGAGTTTCTGCTCTGCCCTATCCGGTCTGGGGAAATAATCATTGAAATTTCAAAGTAGGTTTCATAATTTGCTCTCAATTTGATAATGGATTAGGATGTAATTTGCATATGGCCGCTGTACATATTGACGAAAGTAAGAGAACACAGCCAACGTAAACTTTAACCAGATTCAAATATTCAAATTCGTTTGTGTTTGGTTTGCGTTCACCTGGCAGAGTGAAATCAAGTGAGATGATTTGATTGATGCTTTACTTTCTTCGTTTCAGCCGTAAAATTCTTCTTTGGATTTCTAACAAAAAAAAAGGACATTTTTTTTAATCGGCAAATTATTTTAGTTACAGTCTCATTAACCTAGAAGGCTGAATCATTCGACTCTCCTCACACGTGGAGGATGGTTACGTTGGCTGCGCCTCTTAATACCATCTCTCGATAAAAAACAAAACATCGTCATTGATCTAACATGTAGAAAGCTTTCTGTTGTATTCTCTCAAAGCCCAATAAAACTAGTTACAGGGCACAGTTGAAAGCAGAGCCAATCTGCTTCCCAGTCTTCTCTGTAGTAAGGAACAGAAAACAAACATGTGCAAAATCCTATAAAGGTGGCATTCCCATGGCAGCCTTGAGCCATGAAATGGGAGCAAATGATGGCTCCTCACAATTTCACAGATGGCGTCTTCAAGGCTGTCACGGTTTGAGGGAGTAAATAACATAAGTGGATTAGCACCGTGCCTTGTATGCCATTGGCACCCAATGAATCCTGATGATGGATCGTGCAAACTAAACTTGTCAGTTTCTCTACTATCATTTTCTGTTGAATAACTCACAGTATTTTCCTAAGGTTGCAGGCTTTGGGAGTTTGCTGGTAACTTGAACATGAATCACCGAGAAATAAGTACATTTGACTGACTGCGAGGAGCGTGTAGAATCTTGGTCCACACGTAGGAGTCAGGTGGTCATCAGAGACCAGCAGATGGGTGCTGGGGTACACACTAATAGTCGTAGGGTGCAAATGCTCTGAGAAGAGGTCGTGTATATAGACATCACATACCCTTTATTACCTATTCCTGGTGACTTTTCTCTTCCAAACCAGACACCTTTGGAACTTGCAAGAGACGTTAGATTCCAATTGCTTTTGTCTCTCAAACCCTTGTTGTTTTTAGATAAGGATCATTGTTTGAGCAGTATTAAGCAGCTTTATGCCTTTTTTTTTCTTTTTAATGTTATTGGTCTTCATTTTCATTAGATGGACAGTTAATTGGGTCGCCAAGGACGTGCTGAAATGTAGTAGTGGACAATGCATCCTTTACAGCAGATACTGTGGGTCAAGGGGACAGTTCCTGGATTTAGCTGTGAAACTGTTATGGATTGTCTTTAAGTGGTGCTCCCTAGAGCTTTTTGATGGTGAAGAGAAGGATCTAGGCAAGGCACTGAGGAGTTTGTGGGTTTTGCTGTTTAAGGCCAGCTTAGCACTTGTACATGTTGACATGTTTCTCAAAAGAGTGGTCTTGGGATCGTCTTCCCAAGACTCCGCTCAATGTCTTCCTGCTTTGCTTTGTCTTCCTAGTTATCCTATAAATATATAAGGGGACAATGTGTTCAGAAGAAACAAGGTGTACAGCTTAACAAAACAGGTTTTTCTGGTTTTAGACTACCTGTAATAAGTTTCACAAGAACATACTTAGGAAATCACTTTCATCTGGAAATTCACATCATATTTAAACTGAATACTCTGTCAAATTCAGGACTAACCCGAAAATCCAGGATGTATGTAGAGCTGACGTACGACTGTGTTCTCTGTTTTTTTAGGTCTCATTCATTCTTCTTATGCCATGCCCATTTGGGCTTCCCTTGGCCAGCATGAGTGCCATAAACAGAACAAACAGATCCAGAGTATACCTCTAAGAACCTTTTTCTAAGTAAGATACGTATAATCTTTCCGTTATATGCACAGATTTATATTAATAGGTTCAACACAGATATAAATGCTTGTAACAGTTATTAATATTTGATGATGCATAAGTTATATACAGACACAACAGGCCAGATCCATACACTGCAACCCATAAGGTCTGTAAGTCAGGGCTTTGGCAACACCATTTTGTTACAGACTCATTCACTCTTTTTAGGAATCCGAATCATTTTGAGAGAAAATCAACTGAACAGACTTTCATCCTCCCCTTTTTAATTTTTGCCCACTGGGAAACCCAAGTAGAATTACCATTTGATTACCAACTACAGTTCAATGAGCTAAATCCAGTCAGCAGGAAGAATGACTTATCTCTCAAGCTGAGGCTTTACCTTAGGTCTTTGAGGATGTGCCTCCCGTGCAGAGCATCAAAGAATCAAGGCAATCATCTAGATCGCATAGATCCTCAATAAAGGTCTTCAGGTAATAAAATCTGAACCAAGTAGATGCCAGATTCAATTCTTTATTTCCTATTGGGTGTGGAAACACAGCCCGTAGTCTCATTGCCTGAAGTTACCTTGTCCCGTAAAAGAAAAGTATTAGCTTCTCCTCTGCAACTGTTGGTCAGCCGAAAGAAAGGGTGCCAAACGCCTCACTCCTGGATTTAGACTGGTGGAAACTGAGAAGGGCTTAGGGGAAATTCAATTTATGGGGAGATGTATTCCTGGTAGGAAATATCAGGAATCCCAATGACTGAGTAGTGGGCCTCAGGTCATTTCCAGCCTTGCATGGGGAAGTATGTCACTTGCAAGCGTGTCTAGTCAAGAAACCCTTCCGGAGTTGGGTAACTCATGTACTGGCTCCCTGAAGGGAAACCCAATCCTGCCATGTTTTTGCAAATACCACACTTCCTTTGCTTCTCAAGAGCAAATGTTATGGTACAATATTGTACTTTTGTCAGAATCAAGGAATCTGTCTGTGCTATAGTCTCCCATGAAATACGGCAGTAAGTCCAAATCAGTACGCACATGCTCAGAGAGAATTTTTCCATGGTTCAGACTCTTGATGAGAAGGTCTTTGCAGCTCTTGCTTGACTTGACGGCCAAAAGGGCTCAGCAGTTACACCCAATGGAGGTGGCTCTTCTTCCTTGCTTTTTGAGTCTTGGGGCCATACAGTTGTCTAGGTTGCTGGTATTGCTTTCCTTATTCTCCAAATAAATTCATTCCAAGGCAAGAAAAAGGACCAATGAGATTTTTTTTCCGGTTATTGTCATACGCACTCTTGGACTTTTAGGGTCACGCTAAGTGTACTCTTTGTCCCCTTCACCTATTTTGCCCATCCCCCCACTCACCTCTCCTCTGGCAACCAGCAGTTTGTTCTCTATATTCAAGAGTCTGGCTTTTTCATTTGCCTCTTCTTATCTTTGTTCCTTTGTTTTGTTTCTTAAATTCCACATATGAGTGAAAGCATCTGGTATTTGTCTCTCTCTGACAGGCTTATTTCACTTAGCTTTACATCCCCTCTAAAGATTAAGTTTAAGCAAAGAGCCTGAAGGAATTCTGAAGTGAGAGTTTTGTACATCTAGCTGTCAGAGATTCACAGCCTCAGGCTCTCTGGTACTTTCTGGCTGAAATCTAGAATAAGGGCCACCGAGTGCCAACCTGGGCAGGCCCTATAGGCAGACTGTTCTCCTTAGGTGAAGCGAGTCCAAAGCTGCTCATGCTATAGTTGCTTATGGTTTTCCCAAAAGGAAAACCCAACTTCCCGCTCTTCCTTCTCCTTTCTCATTCCTTTCTTTAGCAGGCATCGTTGCTGCTTAAGAGACAATTTAGTAAAAGACCACATGTTAGTGCAAGAGTTGGTTCTAGAAAAGATGACAAGGAATCTTAATTGAATACTATCTCATTTCATAACCTAACATGGTGAATTCACATAATGACGTAGGGAGGCTGAGAAATAATGCTGTTGGGTACAAGCAACATTTGACTTAGACTCTGCCAGCTTTTAGCTGTGTAATTTAGACAAGTCGCTTTATGCCCAAGCCTTATTCCTTCCCATAGGTAAAGTGAAGGGGTTGGATTAAGTGATTAAAACTCTCTTCAAGCCCTAAGAATCCATGATATGATGATCTCTGCTTTAATTTCTTTTTTTCAAGAGGCTTACCACTATAAAGTATGACTTGCTTATATTTTAAGTCAGAGTGGCCCACAATAAGGAATAATCAATTTGGATTGTTTTTCATCCCCTTGGGGCAATACTAAATTCAAGCCTCTCTCTTCATTTGATGTTTTACAACAAGCTTGGAAGTTGGCCACGTTAATCCATAGTTTGGTGTTTTGGGATACAAACAGACATCCTTTGACAAAACTGCCCTTTTGCCTAACTCACTGTCTTAGTAGAAGTAGTGATTCAGCCCAAAGCAAACTGCTGCCACAGGGGTAGGGCGAGTCCAGAGCCTCACGCAGGGCCTTAGATCATTCCCACTATAGCAACAGAGCCCACTCCGAACCCAAAACACACAGTTTTCTGCACACTGTCCTTATT